TACTCTTAACAATTATCTAATTTTCGGGAATATTTTACTTGATTAATAATGATTCATCTATTATCAGGAGTATCAAAGAACTGATTTTTATATCTTGTGATAATACAATAATTTAAGAATTCACAGGGAAAACCTTATTTAATTATTAATAAATTAATATTTGTTCTTCTATTATCGACAGTATCAAAGGAATTTATTACTATATCTTGCTAATCTTATGATATCCATAATTATTCAAGAATTTGGTGGAGAATTTATATTTAATTGCTAATAAATTGCCCTTTGCTCATCTATTACACCAAAAGAATTCATAGTTCGAAAGGAATTAATTATTAGATATTATTAATACTATGGTAAATCCTACAATCGAATTTCCCGGCGGCGGTTATTGTGGTTGTGCTAGCATTAAAATTGAAACTGCTGATATCTTTTGTGGAATTTGTGATTCTAATTTTGGCTCTAATATCGATGGCAAATTTTGAATTCAGTGGAGGACTAACTCCTGACACACCTGTTGATTTTGATACGATTGGTTTAACTACAGACATTTCAGTTAATGGAATACAGACATTTCAGTTAATGGAATCAATGATGGCGTTATTTTGACATTTAATCGATCTGATATTCGCAGAACCTAAAAATGCCAATAAACTTGTTCTTTTGTTTTTTCTTTTTTCACGCTAGAAGTAAAATGATTGAATACTAACGATGATAGCATGAAAATTGCAAATGAATTGATTTTATTTTGTGAGAAACTTAAAATTCTTGTTTTTCCCACTAATTTGTCATTTTTCATAATTATTTTTCCACGACCAGCTATTTTCATATGATCAACTATTTTTATTCACGATTCATGATCAGCTATTTTTATTTTCCGTAATTAATTTTCCATAATCAACTGCCTTCGTAATCAATTATCCAGAAATTATTTACTGTAAAATTTGGAATTTCGAATGAAATAAGCAAAAATACAATATAAAATATAAGATATTTTTTCATTTTCCCTTTCTTTCATTTATGAATTTTTATGATTTTGTTTTGTTTTGTCTTTTCTTTTTTTTATTCAATCCGATAATTGCAAATTGTTTATTCAGTTTGGAAATTTACCTGTAGTTAGATTAATATTATTATTTCGCGTATTATTGAGTTTGTTAACAGCACTTATTCATTAATTTGTGCTCTAATCATCGATTGCATTATTTGTTGCTTTGGTTTTTCGTTAATCTTGCAACACTCTTTCGTTTTTTTTTCCCATAAAAAATTCAATTGAAAGAAACTTGAGAAACTTGATATCGTTTGATTTCTTTCCATTTTCGAAACGACAAAAAAATTATTGAGCGGTGGAAAAAATATAATTAATGTGAATAAATTTTGATGTTAAAAAAAATCGATAGTAAATCATTTCTATGATGAAACATGCAGGATCTGAAAATCACTTTTTTTTGAAAAAAAAAGGTATTAACTGTATTCTTTCCTTCACTTCTTTCGCTTTCTTTTTTTTTTTAAATACCATCCAGTATTATCAAAACAATAAGCATTGCAAATATTCTGCAATTTTTATATGTGTTTCTATACTCATGTGTTTCTGATTCAGATGATGTTGGAAATTTACCATCATTTTGTGATCAGTTCATGTCAGACCCAATGCTAAATGCTGCAAGACAAATTGGTGGCCAGTTTGCTGTTCATCAGAAGGAAAAGGTAACCGTTTTTATTACTGCAGATATCCACAATGAATGTAGCCAGCAATGTTGGGTACATTTTTATTGGTAATAATAATAAAAGATTTTCATGTGTATTACATTTAACATATTAGCATTAAGATTAATCATGGAATCAAGAATTTTACAAATATTGTCTGCCAGAAGTTAACTGTTTTGTGATACATTTCAGTTGACTAAATATTTGTCCGCGTTCCATTTTAAATATTATTTTACTGTGGATAATGCATATTTTGGCAAAAAATTGGCTCTTATATTATTCTCTTTTTTGCATCGAGTAAGTTTCTATATCTCATAACAAGTTAATTTACCCACTTTTAATATGCCGTGAAATGCAGTACGTAATTTTAGGACTGGACGATCAAGTATGGTTCTTTGGATTCACCATTACCCCCATGATTAGATGTTAACGCATCCGATTTATATATTCCGTTAATGGTATAAAATTTAATAATATAAAATTAATTTAACAAAACAAAGTTAATAATATGAAACTTAATAATATAAATGATGTAACTTGAATTTGAATGAATGGACATCATAGATTATCATGTCAGTTATTTTTGTTCAAAATATGAGGATGATGCTACGATTGGTGAAGAAAAAATAACAAATATGATTGTATTTATAAAAGGTTTTCATCAATTAATCCCTATACACCCATTGGCTTATTGAAATTTTAATAAAGGTGTTTTATAAAGACTTTATAAAGTCTCAGAATGTAATGGAAAAGTTTTTAAGACAATGTAAAAACCAATAATAACTGCAGTAACCAATACGAGTTAATAACGATATTAATAATAATTAATATTATTAGTAAAACAAGAAAGTAAGAAATGTATAATAATAATTATTATTAAAAATGAGTGTATGGTGATCAATCGATGATATTTATAATCATTAGTAAGAAAAAAATGTATGACAGTAGTAATAATTACTATTAATATTATTAGTAAAAATTGGTAACAATAATATAAATATTAATATTGAAATTTGACCAATTTGACCAATGTTGACCAATTCACCTATTCTATATACACAGAAAAATTTTAAGTCATCATATATTGTCGATGAAATATTTCATCCTTATTGATCTATTTCAAATTAAACCTTCTAATTTCAAATGTTAATAATTTCATATTAAATTTCATTTCTTGAAATTTTTGGATTCCTGAAATACAGCTTTGATATAGGGATGTTGTATTCAAAAGATCGTTGGTTGAGAAAATTATGAGGAAAGGAAAAGTGATAATACGGTTAAATAGAATGCGTCATTAATTTCTTGTGCTACGCATCGTCACTTTGCTTAGCTAATCCAACGTTTCACTCTCATCAGTGTTCAACCATCGAATTTAGCATCAAAGTGTCGCGTAATTTTATTGTCATCATTCTCCGATCACCAAGGTAGATTTGACATTAGTCAACTTTTTATAGTCAACAACTTTTAGTAATGAAAGAAAAACCCGAGAGCAAAAATATGAATAGTAAGAAAATTGATGGTATGAGGAGGGAAAAAGACTGATTTAGAAGCCTACAGGAAAAAACTGAAAACATTTAAACAAACGCAAAGGAGACAAACTTTGATCCTTCAAATGACATTTAATTAATATTTACGATTTTCCCTCATTTCATTTCAGTGATAACCTTTAAACATGAACTTAAAATGGGCTTGCGAAAAGAAATTGAGGAATCACAGTGGTAGCATTTTTTAATTCTGATATGAGTGAGTAACTATTTTGTGTGGCTACCTTTTATTTTTTTTTCATTTTGTTATTCAGAGTGAAGAAAGCTGCAATGCTTTGAATTGCATTGAATTCGTGAAAGAAATTTTTTAAAGTCGAGCAGTATTTGTCGATCGCTTTAATCGAGATAAGGCTATAGTGTCATTGAAGAGTATACAGAGAAGGTTACGGTGCAGAAGCTGAATGTTTCTACATTTCCGGAAGGCACCAGAAATCATGGTAATAGAATGATTGAATTCAAAAAAGACGCTTTCAACTTATCTGTTTTTGTAACTCTTTCATTCTTATGCAAACGAATATGGTTATAGTGTATGGAAGAATTATATCCATTTGAAATACTATAAATAACTGCAGTATTGGTATGGACTGTGCATATTTACGTTCCAAATAATCAATGCATTAATCATTTACTTCTTTGAGTCAGGAATCTGTTGACGATGTTCTCGATTGTTGGTGACCTATTCTTGGTAGCTCACGCTGCGATTGTAGGATGAAATGATTATTATATACATATATTGGCTTTTAACTGCAGCGAAAGGTTTTTGTAAATTGACTAATGGATTTTTCAGGCGCAAATACCAATTGTACCAATAGTTATATCTTCTTACAAGGCAGTTCTATAACAAGAACATGCGATATTTCGCAGATTCAGACTACGTTATTGCGGAAATTATGGATCCCATGCAGACTGTTGGTGTATGTTTTTAGAATATTTTCATTTAGCTCTCCTCGAAATGGCTTTGTTATATGTGTACGAAGTGCACATTCCCTTATATCCGTTTATATATATATATATATATATATATATATATATATATATATATATATATATATATATATATATNTATATATATAT